AGTCCTTTGTTGGTCAGTGGATATCCAACTGGTTGTAACTTAGAGGGGTGAGACAAGTTTTATCGTTGTTTTCTGCAGTGGATTCTTGTGACCAATTCAGTCTGCTGCCATTTTCAGAAGTAGGCTTCATCCTATTTATTTTTGACTTGATATTTCGAAATTAGTTGAAAATTACAGAAAACTTTCATAAATAAAAATAGTATAAAGAACATCTTTGTATCCTCTACACACACACATATCTATGTGTAAATATATATATGGCATATGTTATTATAAAATGGCATCATAAAATCACCTATTAATGTTTTACCTAATTTGCTTTATCATTTGTTTGTGTGCTCTCTTGTGTGCATGCTCTCCCTTCTCCTTCCCTCCCTTGAAATGCATGTGTATATATTTATATATGTGTGTGTGTGTGTGTGTGTGTGTGTGTGTGTAGGTTCATATATGGATGTTTGTTAAAAGATTTTCTAAGAATGGCAATATTCTCTGATATTATCACAGTGCAGTTATCAACCTCAGTAAATTTAACTTTGATGCAGTAATTTTATCTAATACCTACCTGTCATAATTTTATCAGTAGACACAATATCTTTTTTTCCTCTCTAAAATGTGATCTAGTCCAGGTTTAGGTCCCACATTTACATGTCGTTTCTATTTAGTCTCCCTTAATATAGACCATTCAATAACCTTTCTTTGTCTTTTATGACATTAACGTTTTAGGAGTATAGAGTTCCACAGCTTCTGCTTTTTTAACAACTTCGTCGAGGTATAATTTATATACCATAAAATCTACTTATTTTAAGTGTACAGTTCAATTATTTTTAGTAAACTTTTACAGTTGTATGATCATCACTTCTATCCAACTTTAGAACATTCCATCACTCTTGTGCCCATTTGCATCTATCCTTCCTCTCATCTAAGCTCCAGGAAACCATTGATATGCTGGCTCTATAGATTTGCTGGACAGTTTACATAAATGGTATCATAAAATATATAGTCTTTTGTATCTGACTTCTTTCATTTAGGATAATGTTTTTGAGGTTCATCCATGTTGCCACATGTATCAATAATTCATTCCTTTTTATTGCCATATAATATTTTATGTATGGATATACCACATTTTGTTTGCCCTTTCACAGGTTGATAGACTTTTGGATTGTATCCACTTTTTGGCTATTGTTAATAGCGTACCAGTCTTGATGCGGACATGTGTTTTCATTTCTCTTGGGTAGATAACTAGGAGCAGAATTTCTGGATTGTATGGTATGTTTATGTTTAACCTTTTAAGAAACTGCAAAATTGTTTTCCGAAGTGGCTGTATGTTTCTATTTTACGTTTCTATTTTCTATTTTTACAATTTCTACTAGCAATGTATTAGGGTTTCAGTTTCTCTGCATCCTTGACAGCACTTGGAATTGTCTCTAGTTTTGATAATAGACATTCTAGTGGCTCTGTAGTGGTATCTCATTGTGGTTTTAATTTACGTTTCCCTAATGACTAATGATTTGATGTTTTCATGTGCTTGTTAACCATTTGCATCTCTTCTTTGGTGAAATAGCTATTCAATTCTTTTGCCCATTTTTCATTGGATTGTTTGTCTTCTTATTGAGTTGTAAGAGTTTTTCATATATTCGAGACACAAGTCCTATATCAGACATAGGATTTTAAAACATTTTTAAGTCTATGAAATGAAGTTTCAGAAAAAAAGACAAGTCTGTGGCTTGTCTTTTCGTTCTCTTAATGGTGTCTTTTCAAAACATAAAAATTTTAAATTTAATTTTTTTGTCCAATTTAATCATTTTTTTAATGGATTGTGCTTTTGGTAGTGTAACTAAGAACTTTTTGCTTAACCCAGGGTTATGAAGATTTTTCTTCTAGAAGTTTTATATTTTTAGCTTTTACGGTTAGGGCTGTGATCCATTTTGAGTTATTTTTGTTTATTGTGTGAGGTGAAAGTCTAAATTCATCTTCTTGCATACAAATATTCAATTGTCCTGGCAGTATTTGTTAAAAAGGGTATGCTTTCCCCCATTGAATTGTCATGGCACATTTGTTGAAAATCAATTAAAAAAATTTTAAGTGTGCTATTTTAATTCCTCTCTTGATTTTTTAGTTCTTTTTTTTGGAGTTATTTTCTTAATGCTGCTCTAGAAATTAAAATATGTATCTTAATTTATCACAATCTACTTCTAATTAATACTAAATTAGTTCCAGTAAAATATTTATATATATATATTATAAAGCCCACAATATTATAATAATCTTATACAATTTAGAGAAATTAAGAAGAAAAGAGAAAAATATGTGTATGTTGTCTTCTGTATTTACCCATGTGTTTACCAGTTTTGGTGGTCCTCATTGCTTCCTGTGGATTTGAGTTAGTGCCTGGTGTCATTTCTTTTCAGCCTGAAAGACTTATTTAGTATTTCTTGTAAGGCACATTTGCTAGCAACAGATACTCTGAGTACTTGTTAATCTATGAATATCTTTATGTCAACTTCATTTTTGAAAGATAGTTTTGTGAGGATAGAATTCTTCATTGATAATTTTTTGCTTTATTTCAGCACTTTGAATATATCATTCCACTGCCTTCTGGTCTCCATGGTCTCTGATGAGAAGTTAGCACTGATCATATTGTTTCTCCCCCTACACATGTTGAGTCATTTTTCCTTTGCTGCTTTCAAGATTTTCTCTTTGTCTTTTTTTCTGATAGTCAACAGTTTGATGTGTCTAGCTAGGGATCTCTTTATGTTTGTCTTGGGATTTGTTGAGCTTCTTGGATCTGTAGATTAATGTCTTGGGATTTGTTGAGCTTCTTGGATCTGTAGATTAATGTTTTTCATCAGATTTGGGACTTGTTAGCCATTATTTCTTCAGATATTTTTTCTGCTCTTTTCTCTCTGTCTTCTCCTTCCTGAGTTCCCATTATACATTGGTTGGTTTGCCTGATGATGTCCTACAGGTTTCTGGGGCTCTTTGTTTTTCTTCAATCTTTCTTTCACTCCATTCTTCAGTTGAGGTAATTTCTATTGATGTATCTTCAACTTCATTGGTTCTGTTACAAACTCAAATATGCTGTTGTATGTCTCTAGTAACTTCGTAATTTCAGTTATTTTACTTTTTAATTTCAGAATTTCCTTGTTTCCTTTTAAGAGTTTCTATTTTTTTAATGGAATTCTATATATATATTTTGTTTTTTGGTGAGGAAGATTAGCCCTGAGCTAACATCTGCTGCCAGTCCTCCTCTTTTTGCTGAGGATAATTGGCCCTGGGCTAACATCTCTGCCCATCTTCCTCTACTTTATATGTGGGACGCCTGCCACAGCATGGCTTGATAAGTGGTGCATAGGTCCATGCCCAGGACCCAAACCTGCGAACCCTGGGCACTCGAAGCAGAGCGCATGAACTTAACCACTACACCACTGGGCTGGCCCGAAATTCTCTATTTTGTAAATTATCATACTCCTTTAGTGTTTTACACATTATTTCTTTTAGTTTTTTTAATATATTCATAGTATCAGCTTTGAAGTCTTTTTTTTTCCCCCTAAATCAACATTAGGGTTCACTCAGCAACAGTTTCTATTGGCTGCATTTTTTTCCTGAGTATGGGTCACTCTTTCCTGTTTCTTTGAAAACTAGGTATTTTAGGTATTATATTGTAGCGCTTGTAGTATCTTATTATATTTCCTGCCTGAATATTGTTGTTGTTACTGCTCTTTGTTTAGTAACTTTTCTAGGCTAAATATGTGGAATATGTTTCCTCTGTGAAGAAGATGTTTCTACTTGATTTTTTATTGTATTCTTCTGTTTATTTTTAATCCTGGCTTCCTAGATTTCAACCTTGTATCTTCAAAGCTTAGTGGTCTGCAAAAATTGGCTGTGAGTTGTATTCAAACACTTTGAGCCAATAAGGCTTCCTGCTTCTGCCAGTGGATAAGTGTGTGAGCTGGGGAGTGCATTGAAGTTTCTGTAGTTTTCAGGTCTTTCCAGCTTTTTACTTTCCACTGATCCCTCTCATTTTTCCTGTGCACCTGGTTGTAGCCTCCATGTCAGGCAGGAATATGTGCAGAGCTTGGGCCCCCAACAGTCTTTCTTGCTTTTGCCAACAGCCTTCTAGTCAGCCAGGATTGTGTGGAGAGCTTATCAAGCCCCTCTCCGGCTCTCTCACTTTCAGGCTCTTCCTGCTACATTGCTGGATAGTCTGCCAGTCTTTTTTGTTGTCACAACCAAGACTTCAACCTCAGCAGTCACTGGCCTTCTGTGTTCATTTACACCTAGATCACTGCTTTTATTGACAGTTCCACTGGGCGTTGGTTTCTCACCTTCCACTCCAAATCAAGTGAGCCCCCTCCAGCAGCAGCAAAACTGATCCTTTCTGGCCTGCCCTGGTATAACTACCATACCACCCAAGCTAGGGGATTGGAAGGGTGAGAGCAGCTCCAGGCAATAATGCCACAGACTCCTACTCTTCTTATGTGAAGTTCAGTGTTTTTTATGAATAAACACTTCTCAATTGATTGTATGTTTTTGGTTGATTTCTAGAACCCCTGAAACTTTTTAGTCTGTTGGGTAATGTGAAAACAAGTCCTTGGTATGAGTTTCATACATTGCAGTAGGACAAGAGTCAACAAACTTTTTCTGTAAAGGGCCACACAGTAAATATTTTAAGCTTTCCAGGCCACATGCAGTCTGTTGCATTGTCTCCTTTCTTTTCTTTATTTTTATTTCAACCCTTTAAAAAGGTGAAAACCATTTTTAGCTGGTAGGCCTTAGAAAAACAGGTTGCAGGCTGGATTCGGCCCACTGAGCAAGTTTGCCAACTCCTGCAGTAAAAAATGTAATGCATAAAGTGAAATGAAAAATAGATCTTGGGAAGGATGTTAGATGGGAGATAGCTTGTGATGTAAACATATTATGAATGAACTGTGGGCAAAGCAGAATGGCCTAGGAAGCCCTACCTATGACTACTCTGACTAAAAACATTCTTTCTTCAGCAGGATCAAAGCTAGAAATTCAACCTTGTCCCTCCTGCCCTCTGGCATTCTCTAGTCAGCAAGCCCTCAGCCAGCATGTGTGGCTCAGTCATCTCCCTCAGCTATTCTCAAGTTTATGTGCAGGAAATCATCTCTATCCAGGGAAACACTATCCAGAAGATCAGAAACAGCAGCAGGAGCAGCTCTTTGATCAAACCTGCTCCAGCGACGAAGCAGAAATTCAAGAGAAAGAAGAGGGCTCCAAAGCCTTTTTTGGGAGAGTAAGCAAAAGCAACATTTCAAAGGCATTCTCCAGCCCACCAGAAGAGCAGCCAGTAAGGTCCAAGGAAGACAGAACAGTGGTGGATATAGGGCCCAGCCCAGACCAGAGGACACACTTTGAGGAAACAGACAAAGTATTGCATGGTTTAGAAGTCTCAGGATTTGGAGCAATCAAATATAGAGACTTGGGGCTAGGCTTTAGCAAGGGGTCAAACCTGCTCAGCCTCCCGAAGACACTCCTGGGGGAGACACCTTATACGTACAGTGAGTGGGGACAGAGCTTTAGCAGTATATCAGTCCTCATCAAAAACCAGAGGACACACTCTGGAGAAAAGCCTTATGTGTGCAGGGAATGCGGACGAGGCTTTACCTGGAAGTCAAACCTTGTCACACACCAGAGGACACACTCAGGAGAGAAACCTTATGTGTGCAAGGAGTGTGGACGAGGCTTTACTTGGAAATCAAACCTCTTCACACATCAGAGGACACACTCAGGGGTCAAGCCTTATGTGTGCAAGGAATGTGGGCAGAGCTTTAGCCTGAAGTCAAACCTCATCACACACCAGAGGGCACACTCGGGGGAGAAGCCTTTTGTGTGCAGGGAATGTGGGCGAGGCTTTTGCCAGCATTCACACCTCATCAGACATAAGAGGACACATTCAGGAGAGAAGCCATATGTGTGCAGGGAGTGTGAGCAAGGCTTTAGCCAGAAGTCACACCTCATTAGACACTTAAGGACACACACAGGAGAGAAGCCTTATGTATGCACAGAATGTGGGCGTCACTTTAGCTGGAAGTCAAACCTCAAGACACACCAGAGGACACACTCAGGGCTTAAACCTTATGTGTGCCTGGAGTGTGGGCAGTGCTTTAGCCTGAAGTCAAACCTTAACAAACACCAGAGGTCACACACAGGAGAGAAGCCGTTTGTGTGCAGAGAATGTGGGCGAGGCTTTACCCGTAAATCAACCCTCATCACACACCAGAGGACTCACTCAGGGGAGAAGCCATTTGTATGTGTGGAATGTGGGCGAGGTTTTAATGATAAGTCAACCCTCATCTCACACCGGAGGACACATTCAGGGGAAAAGCCTTTCATATGCAGGGAGTGTGGTAGAAGGTTTAGCCAAAAGCCAAACCTATTTAGGCACAAGAGGGCACACTCAGGTGGTATCCCCTTTGTGTGCAGAGAGTGTGGGCAAGGCTTTTGTGATAAGTTAACTCTCATTACACACCAGAAGGCACACTCGGGGGGGAAGCCTCATGTGTGCAGGGAGTGTGGGCAAGGCTTTAGCCGGCAGTCACACCTTATTAGACACCAGAGGATACATTCAGGAGAGAAGCCTTATATTTGTAGGAAGTGTGGGCGAGGCTTTAGTCGGAAATCAAACCTCATCAGACATCAGAGGACACACTCAGGATAGAAACCTTGTGTGTACAAGGAGTGTAGTGAAACCTTTAGCCAAGAGTCACACTTCATGAGACACCAGAGGTCACACTCAGGGCTGTGGCTTTAGTAGTAAGTCAACCATTGCCAGACGCCGAAGTGGAGACATCTTATGTGCGATGGGAGTATTCACGAGGCTGTTAATGGTAAGATTCAACATCTCCAATCCACCTGAAGGAGAGTTGCTGGCCTGTTTTCTGGAGCTCTGGCTTTCCCTAGTGGGGCTGGTGGTTGTGGAAGGTCTCTCAGGTAACTTGATGAAGGGAGTACTTCTAAACAGGTTGAGGTTAGGGAAGAGAGACTATTCCAATGTCATTTCCCAAGTACACCTGCATACTCCTTCCGCAGTAACCTGGATGTTACAGAAACAACAATACTACAGCTTGTCTCTAGTGTCTGTCTGACCTTCTGAGAACAAGAGGCTTAACAGAAACCATGGCTGATTTAATCTTGCTTCCCCAGAGCATGCCCCAGCAGAGTCAGCTTCAGGGAGAGTTTGGGAAATGGTGAATTCATGGGGACAGAGCACATGGGTAGAGGAAGGTTTTATTATGCAAAGGGCTGACAGGTAAGAAAGATTGTAACTGTCATAGCTCTAGGTTTTGGGAAGGAGTATCTGTTTTTGGAAATACTGTCCCTGTGCTTGCTTCCCGGGGCTTTCTCTGGTTTCCAGATTGAATCCATAATGAAGATAATTTTATTGACTGGTGTATTTAGACTAGAACTGTATTATGTGCTTTTATGAAGAAAACACACACTTAAATATAAAAATAGAAAATGAAATTCCTTTCTATTTTTCTTTGAATTACCATACAATATCCCACAGGTAATTCTTCAGTTTAAATCTTTCTAACCATTGTAAACTATGCTATTTTTCTGGTTGGGAATACGCTCTTTTTGAAAATGGCAGTGTCCCACAAATTAACTTATAATCCTGGGCCAAGTCCCATGCTTTTTCGTGGAGCTTGACTAATGATTCTTAATTTTATTTGGAAAGTGAAATTTCCAAGAATGGGCAGGAAAATATATGAACTGTATAATAACATGTCTTTTTACCTGTGTACAGGTATTTAGAATAGATCTTTAGAACCAGATAAAAAATAGAAAAACAAACTCACTTATATATGAGTATTTAGAAAATGCTGGAGCAGGATTTCAACCTAGTGTGAAAATGGCAAGTACAAGTTTCAGTGTTTGACTCATTGGCTCTCAGTGTAAGGAGAAAATAAACATAGCTCTCAAAGTCTCAATATCCAAAGGAGTTCGAGTTAGGGAAGCACTGTCTCAAATAATATGAGGTGTAGGAGTCTTAATATTTGTTCAACATCTAAGTTTGAGTGGAGCGAGCAGAACTTGGTGCAAAATTATGAAACATTATCCTAGATGGAGCAGTGGGCATGGCCTGTGCTTCTCATCCCTCCCCATGGTAGTTCCTGACCTCATGTTCTTACTCCTCAATAGAAAAATACCCTTTGAGTCTTAGAATTTAATTATTCTTTTCCATAAACTCATATCACAAAGATTCCAAAATTAAACATGTATCTTATACTGTTTTTTAACTTTCAGAAGGAATATTACAGTTTTCAAGGTAATTGGTCCATAAAACTAAAAGATTTTGGCTTTAATTGTTTGAGATTCTCAACAAGAAAAAATAGAACACTGCTGGTATATGAAGACTCAGATAAATTCAAAGAGATAAAACCCTGGGAGACAGTTTCTTTGGAGAAGCAACCAAACAGAGAAGGCTGGAAATGTTCTGAGGAAGGGACAGAAAGAAGCCCTATCCTTTGGCCCTGCCCGGGCCCCACCTCTGCTGATTCTTAAACCCACGTCAATCCCTCTGCTTAGAACCTCCCAGAAGAGACAGAATTGGGACAGCTAACCTGAGTTGTCCACCTGGGCCTCACATTAAAATTTAGTGTGCCAATTTGGAAGCTGATTAGGAGGCAAGTACCACATAGTATTCAGATATGTGAATCTTCTCAGTCTTTTGTTTTTACTTTGTTCCAGTCTCAGTCTGGACTAGCCATCCACTAGTGCATATATTTCATAGCCTGAGGTGACAGCTCTAGATGTTTAAAACAAACAGAAAAAGTGCCCCAGAGCAACTACTGCCTGTCCTACCACTCCCACGGTAAATAGTAGACTATGCTGCATGGAGAAAATTTTGAAGAAAAGATGATAAACGGTATGAAACAATGAATATTCCTTCAAATCCATAAACCTGTTATGGTCACCATTGAAATGTTCCATTTTAAAATGAGTGGCAAGATCAGCCCTGAGCTAACATCCGTGCTAATCTTCCTCTTTTTGCTGAGGAAGACCAGCTCTGAGCTAACATCTATTGCCAATCCTCCTCCTTCCCCCGCCCCCCGAAAGCCCCAGTAGATAGTTGTATGTCATAGCTGCACATCTTTCTAGTTGCTGTATGTGGGACGCAGCCTCAACATGGCCGGAGAGGTGGTGTGTCGGTGTGCACCCAGGATCCGAACTTGGGCTGCCAGTGGCGGAGCGCGCGCACTTAACCGCTAAGCCAAGGGGCCGGCCCATATGCTTTTAATTTTGAGATAATTGTAGATTCATATGCAGTTGTAAGAAATTATATAGAGAGATCCCATGTGCTCTTTGCTCAGTTTACCCCAATGGTAATATCTTGCAAAACTATAGTACGATATCATAACCAGGATACTAAAATTGATGTGTACACACCTTTTAAATATTTTATGTAATGAAAAGAGAGATACACATAGAGCCCTTCTTCATGCTGAAGTGTGAGGTTGTTTCAAGGAAATGCACTTCTCTGCTTGTTTGAGTTGTGAGCGGAGCTAGACTTTTTTTTATGGACACCAATTTTATTTGAAAGAATAACTGACAAATTTTGAATAAGATGATTCAGACTTGGCTATTTGGTGGATATTTTTGTCAAAAATGAAGTGATTTTTGAAAACTGGCAGTAATTTTTGTTAATTTGACTTTCAAGGAAAAAATTAGAATATTGAAAAACAAATATCTGCCACCATGAACTTGACAGCTTCCCAATACTTAGTCTTTTGCAATGAGATTAATGAATGTGATTTTATAATCCATATAATGAAATATGTCAATATTTGGAAGATCTGCCTAATTCATTGAACTAATCTTTTCCAAATGATTAGTGCATGATGCTGCAAAATCATTCATGAGTATATTAAAGTATAAGATAGACAAATGGATTTTAATTTAAAGAGAGAAAGGCCAGATTCTACATTATAAGTAACCTTTAAAAAATTACCACTTGTTGATTTTTGGTGTAATATCAAAGAATAATATGACAAGTATCTGAAAAGGCCATTAGAATACTCCTCCGTTTTCTAACTCTGTATCTTGTGAGGCCACATTTTCTTGATCTCAACAGATTAAATGGGGGAGCACCTATGAAATACCAGCTATCTTCTATTAAACTAGACATTGAAGACATTTGGAAAAATATAAAATAATGCCACTATGCTCACTGATTTATTTTTTTGGTGGAAGATATTCAAACCCAAGTGAAAGTGAAACATCTTACTTTTCACCTTTAAGTGTCTTGTTTCTAGATGTTGATGGTCTGTATTCCACAGTGAAAAATGCTTCACACACACACACCAGAAAAAAATGTTACATGTCGTAATACCTAACATACATATAACAGCTATGCTTTATATAATTTAAACTAGGCATAGAAGAAAATTACCAAATAAAACAAATACAAAGAAAATGCTTCTTAACACCCACTGACAGGTGTAAACCTTCGATCTGAAGTATGCTGCTCTATCTAGACAAAACAAATCTCGGAGCATATTCAGTTCTAGAGCTAAATTACATAATTGCTTGATCTCCTCCCTGCTTGTGGCTATGTCTCTTTCTGAATATTCTTGCCAAATATTTTTTCTATTTTTTTATCTAACAAGCAGCTTTATGGTTTTAGTCATCTCTTTAGTGTGTCTTTTTTAATGTATTTTGTTAATTTATGTTAATATTTACCAATTTCCTTGTTAATTTCTTTTTTGTTGTATTGCTATGTCAAGCTTATTTAATCATAATTCAGCTCATTTATCTTCCTTTCTACTGATCTTCTGAAAGTCAGTTCATTTCAAGTGGCTTATAATTTTCATTTTTATTTTCTCTTTTAGACAAGAATTGCTATTTCAAAGAGTGCTTATAAATGGCTTGATGGATATATTCAATCTCCTAGTATTTAATTTTTTAGCATTGTAGTCAATGTATTTTGTGATTTCTTCTATTTTAATTCACAAAGTTTAGTTTTGAATCTGATCAAGCTCTGTGAATTTTTATGTGTATCTTAAAGCAAGTGTTTAATGTGTGAATGTGTATATATCTATTTTAACATATTATACCAAAATTAACACAAAAGGTGGCACATTTTGATATTTTTCTATATAGTTATCTCATCATTCTCCTGTTATTTTGCGTTAATGACCTCTTTATTAATTTATATGTTTAACACATGTAAAATTAGATCTATGATGTAAATGTAGATATAAATAATATTTAATAGAACAAACACCATTGTATTCACCCCAGTGGAAGAAATAAGCCTTAATTATTTTTAAAAATTTAGTGCTTCCATTTCTGTAAGTGATGAAGTAAATAAACTTATGATCATGTTAGAAAACATTTCTCCATATATTTCCATCAAATTTTGCTTAATACATTTCAAAGCTATTTTATTTACATCAATAGAAATTAATATTTCTTCTTGATGAATTTTCCCTTTTAAAACCATGGAGCAACCTCAGGTCACATTCAGTGTTTCTAATTAGTCTGCTCTCAGTATTGTTGCACTTGCCTTTTTTGGTAGTATTTGCTTTTTTTGCTTCTTCATTTTCATTTTGATATTCTTGTTTTGTGAATAGAGTGTACTACGTAACATAGTACTGGAAGCCATAGTCAGAACAATTAAGTAAGAAAGAGAAATAAAAGGCATCTAAATTGGAAAGGAAGAAGTAAGACTCTATTTGCACACAACATCATTCTTTATATAGAAAATCCAATTGCATCCACAAAGACGCTACTAGACCTAGTAAACAAATTCAGCAAAGTTACAGTGTACAAGATCCACATACAAAAATCAACACAACATCAATGAACCATCTGAGAAGAAAATTAAGAAAACCATTCCATTTACAATAGCATCAGAAACAATAAAATGCCTAAGAATAAATTTAACCAAGGAGGTGAAAGACTCCTACGCTGAAAACTACAAAACTAAAAAAATAAACCTATAAAACTTAAAACTACAAAATTTAAGAAGATCTTAAATGTAAAGACATCCCACATTCATAGATTGGAAGACTTAATATTGTAAAGATGTCAATACTACTCAAAGAGATCTACAGATTCACTTCAATCCCTATCAAAATTCTAATGGCCTTTTAGGCTGAAATGGAAAAGCTGGTCCCCATAATTATGGAATTGCAAAGGGCCTTTAGTAGGCCAAAACAATATTGAAAAAGAAAAACAAAGTTGGAGGGCTCATACTTCTCAATGTCAGAACTAACTACAAAGGTACAATAATCGGGAGTGTGGTACTGGAATAAGCATAAATATATAGGCCAATAGAATAGAGCTGAGAGTCCAGTAATAAATCCAAACTTCCAGGGCCAATTGAGTTTTGACAAATGTGCCAAGACCATTTCATGGGGAAAGACCAGTTTGCTCCGCAAATGATGCTAGGTACAAATGGATAACCACATGCAAAAGAATGAAGTTGGACCCGTACCTCAGTCAACATACGAAAATTAACTAAAAATGGATCAATGACCTAAATATAAGAGCTAAAATTATAAAATTATTAGAAGAAAGCATAGGAATAAATCTTCATGACCTGTTTGGCAATGGATTCTTAGATTTGACACCAGAAGTATGAGCAATTAAAAGAAAAAAATAGATGTATTGGACTTCATAAAAAATAAAAATTTGGGGCCGGTCCCGTGGTGCAGCAGTTAAGTTCGTGCACTCCATTTTGGTGGCCCAGGGTTTGCTGATTCGGATCCTGGGTGCAGACCTACTCACCACTCATCCAGTCATGCTGAGACAGTGTCCCACATAGAGCAACTAGAAGGATGTACAACTATGACACACAGCTATCTTCTGGGGCTTTGGGGAGAAAAAAGGAAAAAAGGAGGAAGGTTGGTGACAGATGTTAGCTCAGGGCCAATCTTCCTCAAAAAAAAAAAAAACTGAAGTAGATATATAAATAAAAACTTTGCATAACAAAGGATATTACCAAGAGAGTGAAAAAACAACCTACAGAATGGCAGAAAATATTGGCAAATCATATATCTGATAAGGGTTTAGTATCCAGAATATCTGAAGAATTCTTACAATTCAAAACAAAAAGACAACACAATTTTAAAATGGGCAAACGTCCTGAGTAGACATTTCTCCAAAGAATATATACAAATGGCAGAGAAACACATAAAAAGATGTTCAACATCATTGGTCATTAAGGAAATGCAAATCAAAACCACAATAAGATACAACTTCACATCCATTTGGATGGCTGTAATAAAAAATAAAAAAGCAAAATGTTGGCAAGGATGTGGAAAATTAGGAACCTTCATACATTGCTGGTAGCAACGTAAAATGGTGCAGTACTATGGAAAAAAGTTTGGCAGCTCCTCAAACATGAAATATAATTCCCGTATTACCCAGCAAATCCACTCTGAGGTATATACCCAAAAGAATTGAAACAGGTACTCAAAACAAATACTTGTTCATGAATATTTATAGGAGCACTATACACAACAGCCAA